GCTTGAAGTGGAAGACATAAGGAGGACATTGTGGAGGAGTGGAAAAGCCTACCAAGCCATCCATATCTGATGCTCTCTGTGTCAGGTGCTTGCTTGCTAACACTGCCTTGTGTCAGCCTCTTAGGGTGCAAGGAGCGGAACCACCCATTTGGGAGTTGGACTCCCAGGTCTGCAGGTGACTTGGGAGCTAGGAAGGACTGACATGCCCTTGCAGGATGAAGTGTCCCACCCTACTTCCTCTTGTACTGGTTCCCTGGGCCTAGGTGAGGGGGACATGGAAGGAGGGTAGGCCTCAGTCCTCTGCCTGCTGAGAAAGGAGGGAGGAGCAGAGTTGGGGTTACACTGGGAGGTAGGAACTGGCAGCCAGGACAGTGAGGCCCAGGAAGGGCAAGATGGTGGCCTCCCAACCAGAGAAGAGGCCTGGAGTCATTATGAACTAGGCAGATAGGGTAGGAGAGCTGGGGAGCAGCAGGGGAGCAGGGGCCACTTGGGGTGCTGGGAGCCCGGGAGGCAGGCAGCGCAGGGGAGGCCAGGCTGGGCTCAGGGCTGAGCGGTAATTAAAGGAGACGTAGGGGGCTCCCCAGGGCCAGCGGGGCTGGTAACTGACACGCGGGCCCCATTGCTCCGCTCATATTTCTCGCCGGATCGATACGTTTGACTCCCGACAAGACAATAATCGCTTGTACGCGGCCGGCAAGTCGATCAAATACATTATTAGAGCGAGGTCCCCCGGGGGCCCGGCGGGGAGTGGGGGGGGAGGGAGAAGGCGGCCCACCGGGGACAGCAGAGCGGAAATCCTCACCCCTCAGGGCCCCCAAGCCTTGGCCTCTTCCTCATGGCTGCCCCTGGGGATCCTCTCTGTGGCTCAGTCCTCAGCTTCTCTCTCACTCCCACTGTCTCAGGTGACCTCTCCAATCAGTACCCCCCCTCCATCCCATCAAGTCTTTGCTTTGCATGGGGTGTACCCCACAGGTACTGCTGAAGTATGGGGGAAGCTCAGAGAGGTCCCCCAGCTGCCAGCTTGGCAGAAGATAGGGAAACCGGGGCAAGCCATATTGTGAGTCAATGGTTGGGCCGTGAGATGAACTAGGACCCAGGATGTATTAATACCAAGCTCTCTCTGCCCAGCCTCTCTCCTCCATCTATGGTCTCTAGCAAAGCTGGACCAGGGGCAGCCTCTGGGGGCTCCGGGACCCAGACAGGCAGATAAATGGAGGCAGGAATGGCAGACAGACACACAAACAAAGGGATGTCTGGCTGGTCCTTCTCATGCCCAGCCTCAGCCCTGGCCACCTCCTTCCTTGTGTTCCTGGCTTCTAGGCTTGTGCCTCCATTTCCTGTTTCCCAGGTACCCTCAGGATTGCCACTCTAGCAACCCAAAGTCAAGGTTAAGCTACAGTCACCTTAAAGTTCTTCCTAGGTGCGTTCCACATTCAGGGATTTAAAACATTTCTTTTTCTCTTTCTTCACCATCACCATGGATAATCAGTATCATTCCTGGTGTGTGTTCTGTGCTCTTTGAGCCAATACATTATTTGTGCTCTTCCTAAAATCTGAGGAGGTAAGGTCTGTTATCATCCCTGTTTTACCAATGCATTGGGGCTCAGAGAGGTGAAGTCACCTGCCCCAAGTCACAGAGCATTACAACTTGTGCTCTCTTTACTCTGCTACTCAGAGCCTTGACATACCCCTCATCCTGCGGTAACTGCACAAGTTCTTCTGCCTACTCAAGTCCATCAGAAACCCGCCCCCTCCGCCCTGCCATGGCCACAGCCCAACTCCCACAGCCTTGAATCTCTGTCTTCATACTTAGCAGTTCACTAGACTCCTGATCACATCAGCTCCTGGCTGAAAGTGGGCCATCGCTTCCCCATCTCCTTCCATTCAAACATGTCCCATGTGACCTTCAGGGTCAAGTCTGTGCTGGGGCAGAGGACTCAGAGAAGAACTATATCTGAGCCTGTCCTCAAGGAGTCAAGATCCAAGGGGAAGACTGGTAGGGATGAAAATACTCTCATAAACCATTACCAAGTCTGGTCCAGTGGTAGAATTCTTGTCTTTCATGAGGGAGATATGGGTTCAATTCCTGGCCAGTATACCTTGTCACTGGAGGCCAGTTTGTTGCTATAATATTAACAGGTTTCAGTGGCGCTTCCAGACTAAGACAGACTAGGAAGAAAGACCTGGTGATCTCCTTCTGAAATGCAGCTAATAAGCATCCTGTGGATCACCACTGTACATGGAGTCACCGTGAGTCTGGGACTACCTCAATGGTAGCTGACAACTACAGGTTCTGACCATTCTTAAATTCACAGAATACAGCTGTTAAAAGCAAAACAAAAATGTGGCTTTCTCCCCCATTTTGAGCTTACAGTCTTTTGAGAATGAAGTCATTTTTCTTTCAGTGAACAATTTTTATTGAAACTCTCAAAGATTGTTGCTGTTGTTTGGTGCCAACTCATACTGACCCTATGCACAACAGAGCAATATTGCATGGTCCTGAACCACCCTCACAATCATTCCGCTTGAGCCCATTGCTGCTGTCCTTATGCCAATCATTCTAGTCGGGGGCGGGTCTTCCTCTTTTTCACTGACCATTCACTTTACCAAGCATGATGTTCTTCTCCGGGGACTGGTTCCTCCTGACATATCCAAAGTATGAGAGACCAAGTCTCTCTATCCTGGCTTCTAAGGAGCATTCTGGCTGTACTTCTTCCAAGATAGATTGGTTTGTTCTTCTGGAAGTCCATGGTACTTTTAATATTCTTCTCCCAACACCATAATTCAAATGCATCAAATGATGAGTTGGGTACCATAACAGAAAATCTCACCTAACTGTACTATCACTCACAAGAATGAACTAACCCAAACACTACAAAACTCAAATTTCCATGTAATTGCTACAAGTGAATATAAATGAACCAAATCATTTTATGTAGCTTCCCTTTAAACATATAAAACAGAAGGGAACTTACATGGCAAAAGATATTCAAAACTTAATGAAAACAAAATTCTTAAATTTGTCAAACTTACATTTAAAAGATGCAAAATGCACTTGAAGTAATTAAATGACTCAAGCTGATTCTTGTTTTTTTCTT